TTAAGTCTTGGTTAAGTTGGAAACTACTTCGCATGCATTGTTTTAGTTTTCCTATGTGTTTTGATTTAGCTTAGTCTCTTGTGTGGCGCTTAGCCTAAGCGAAAGTAACCGTTTATTTGTTTTACGTTGTTGTTTTAATTGCTAATAACGAAAATCTGAAATTGCTCTTAAATATTTTGTGCAAGTCTCCGATTTAGCATATAGTTCTACATCAACTTTATTTCATGTTATTTACAGATCTAATATATAAAACTTTAATATTACATGCCTATCACCCATAGAACAAATATAGGTGCATGGAATGAAATATTAAAATTTATAGGATGGTATGGCTGGTAAGAATGAAATATTGGATAGATATATTTGATATTAAGATTTTATATGAGTGATAGAAATGTAATATTAAAATTTTGTGTGTTAAATTTTATACAGAAAGAGTATCAAATATACATAATGAATAAAAAATGTCAAACATGGCTGCGTACAATTTTTAGTTGATTCTGTTAATAATAATTGTATTTGCGCCTGATCTTTTGTTGTGGGGAATATGGGTAATATTGGGCTGTTTAGTACTTCGATGGGGTAGATTATCAATCTAGCTCAAAATGCCTGATGAGAACAGCTCGTCTTTTCCACCACATTTACACCAATCAGTGAAAAAATCATGGAAATTTCTGTACTTCTCTAATCTTTTGCATTTTACAGGTAAAACAAAAGACGCTAATCTTATGGGGCGAAAATGATCGTATTATCAATGTTGATTTAGCACAGGTTTGTTCTTTGTTTGATTATTTATCTTTATTTTCCATATATTTTTGAGAGTATTTAACTTGAACAAAGTTGTATTAGTGAAAATGGAAATATTGGTAATTATGTGGTAGAGTATATTCATAGATGTTAGATAATGTCTCTACAATAAGGATAAAAAAGATTCTTTTTTCATATATTGTTGTTCAAAAAACATAAAAAAGCTTTGTTATAAAAATTAGTTTAAATGTGAAAGTTCGGAAAATTGGGAAAGAGCTCGTTGTAATTATAAGCATGTAAAATTTACAGATCATTTGGACTAATATCATATCATTTTTGGTTTTGTTGGATTTCGTCGAGCCATATAGTTTGATTATAAGTTTGTTGAAATCAGAATTCGTATAATTTCGAGCTGATTTTTTTAAGTTCCCTATCAATTTGCATCGAGGTTCGCTCCTAATCAAGCTGATTTTTAAGGGAATTATCGATGTATTATTTATGATGTTCTAAAGCAACCAAGCTGGTCTTCATGCAGAGGTTGCATCAAGAACTGCCGGATTCAGTTTTTCATCAAATACCAGATTGTGGTCATCTTCCGCATGTGGAGAAACCAGACATTGTGGCTGAACTCATTTTAAAGTTTCTTCGAGGCTCTACAGTTGAAAAACCAGTGAGTTCTTCTCCTGTTGAAGAAATTCTTCCTAGGTAGCTCATGAATGGAATTATGTTTACAGAATTTCGAACTGGCCAAGTTCAGAACAATCAACAGATGCAAATTGCAAAGCAGGTAATTCTTTTTTCATTAAGAGATCATTTGATTTGGTTAAAGTTTGTTAAATATATTATTTTGATTCAAATTATAGAAATCTTCTCAAATCTTGAAATGAGTGAAAATAAAATTATGATTTCTTAAGACGTTTTGTAATTATAAGCAATCAAATAAGCCAATTTCATGGAAAACTAGACTTGCATTGAAGCAAAACAACAGATGCAACTGCTACCATTACAGGCCAAAAAACCCATCAAATTTCATGAAGTGCTGTCAAAATTGGGTCACGGGTCGGGTTCAGGTCAAACCCAAAATTGACCTAGCATTGCTCGACATGACCCGAACCCAACCCGTTTTTGCAAACGTGTTTGTTTTTCAGACCCAAATCTGATTCTCTTCGGGTTCGGGTCAACCCGAACCTGACCTGCTTCGGATATGTTTTACTAAAATTTTTTTATATAACTTACTTTATTTAAACCTAAATCAAATTAAGATAAGATTTATTTCAATCAATTCAAAATAAAATAAACTTAATTCAATTTGGACAACATGATTTATTATTTTTTGAAAATAGCATTTACTTATTTTATAACAATATTTTAGAACCCTCTTAAATTAATTAAAAATGGATCAAAGCAGGTTGATTTCAAATTTTTTGGTCAACTTGAATCCGACCTAATTTTACAAATGGGTCAAAATCCCAAACCCGAATTCGAAATTTTTGCATCGAAATATTGACACCCCTAATTTCATGCTCAGGTTTGTCATCAAAGGATGAATCTAATACAGGCTACTTGTTTAGTTAGTAATTTGAGTTGCTCAATGCAACTTATGATTGTTTTGGGATGGCTCTATTCTTTTATTAGGATGGTTATAAATTTATTATGGGAAAAATAATTATTTAAAAGCTACGGTAAAAAAAAAAAAACTTTTAAGTATAAAAATTTCTTTAAAATAATAAAAAAATTAGCAGTCAAATATATATTATATTTATAGTTAAAAAATAAATTATCTTTAATGAAATACTAATCATTTGTTCTTAAATTAAATAATATTATTTTATTTAGTTCAATTTATTTAAACCTAAATCAAATTAAGGTAAGATTTATTTCAATCAATTTAAAATAAATTAAGCTTAAATTCAATTTGGGCAACATGATTTATTATTTTTTTAAAATAGAATTTACTTATTTTATAATAATCGTTTAAAATCCTTCTAAATTAATTAAAAACGGATCAAATTAGGTTGATTTTGGATTTTCAGGTCAACCTGAATCTGATCTGATTTTACAAACGGGTCGATTCTTAAATGAAAAACTAATCATTTGTTATAGTTTTATATAACAATTATAGTTTTTAATTAACGGACAACATATAGATATATATATTATATTTACAGTTAAAAAAATTATCTTAAATGAAAAACTAATCATTTGTTCTTAAATTAAATAATATTAATATTAAATTTGATAATGTCCTTAAAAATTCCAAGATTTGGAGTGAGAATAAAATACACACTAATTCATAATGGGAGAGGTCGATGCCATAGCCATAGGTAGGAGTGTCAATTCGGGTCAGTGGGTTGGATTCGGGTCGAACTTAAAACTGACCCGATATTATTCGGGTCAACCCGAACCCAACCCGTTTTTAAAAGAGATAAACTTTCCATAGGTCATTATGTTGTCCGTTGCATGGTGTGGAATTTCTCTTTTAAAAGAGATAAACTTCACTTACAATGATTAGAACAACCCAAAGGCACCAAAACAAAAACTCCATATAACTTCTCTTCAATTATTCACCACTCTCCCCTTAAAACTCTTATATCTATTATTTATGAATGGAAAACATCTTCGAGTAATGCTTCAAAGATAAGCCTTCTGATCAAGCCGGGGCAGTGGTCGAACCATGAGCGGGGTGGTTCGGTGCAGGGTGAGCCCAAAGCTCAAATCCATATCCAACTTCTCGGGCAGTTGTCCCTCGGGCAGCTTCCAGTCGAAAGAATGCACCAACGTCGCCGCCATGAACTGCACCATCCTCATGCCCAAATTCATCCCCGCACAAATCCTCCGCCCGCCCCCGAATGGTATTAACTCGGATAAGCCTTCGGATCAAGCCGGGGCACCGGTCGAATCATGAGCGGGGTGGTTCGGTGTAGGGTGAGCCCAAAGCTCAAATCCATATCCAACTTCTCGGGCAGTTGTCCCTCGGGCAGCTTCCAGTCGAAAGAATGCACCAACGTCGCCGCCATGAACTGCACCATTCTCATGCCCAAATTCATCCCCGCACAAATCCTCCGCCCGCCCCCGAATGGTATTAACTCGAAATCATTCCCCTTCACATCGATCCCCTCGTGCCGCCCGCCCGGGAGAAATCGGTCGGGCCGGAAGGCTAATGTCTCATCGGGCCAAGCCATCGGGTCCCGCCCGATGGCCCATATGTTGACTAGAAGGGTGGCCCCTTTAGGAATGAGGTAGCCGTCGATCTCGAAGTCTTGTGAGATGATGCGGGGAAGGGAGAGAGGAGCGGCGGGATGGTGGCGGAAGGTCTCTTTGATGACGGCCTGGAAGAAGGGGAGGTTGGGAAGGTCGGTTTCGGCGACGAGGCGGCGGCGGCCGACGACGTGGTCGAGCTCTTGTTGGGCGCGAGCTAGAAGGTCTGGGTGGCGGATCAGCTCTGCGATGGCGAATTCTATGGTGTTTGATGATGTGTCGGTCCCCGCGGTGAACATGTTCTGCATCAGATAGAAGAATTGAAGTATTAATCACATTCAACAAAATAAATAAATAAACGAACTCAGATCGATAAAATAGATAGTTACCTGCAAAAGTGGCTTTATGTCTGCATCAGTAAGAGCAATCCCATCCCCATTCGCATCCTCCTTCGCCTCAATCAGCACACTTAACAGATCATTATGCCGCCCACGGCCGCCGCCGGCTGAGGCGATCGTCTTCCCGGTCTCCGTCAACCTCACTTGGTGGTCCTCAATCACCCTATCCAAAAACTCATCAAATTTCCGATGCAGCTTCTTCATCTTCCCCACCAATCCCTGCATTCAAAACACTTGCACCATTATACTCTGTACTCTGCCATACACAAATCCCAAATAACTTTTGATTCGATCTAAAAGATCAAATTTTGATGAATCGTTTATGAAGAAAATGTGATAAGATTTGAAGATTACCTGAAGATCAAGCCATCCAAGCCCAGGCACAAAATCATTAATATTAAACGCAGTGGACAAATTCATCATCTCCACCACCATCTCCTTGAACTCTCTGCTCTCCTCTCCATCCCCAAACACTCTCCTCCCCACCACCACTCTCGACAAAGCATCCGCCGCGCACGCACTTATTCCATCACTCAGATTCACAAACTTCTCCTCCACCTCCGCTGCCGCCAACTCCCGCACAAATCTCCCCACCTCATCCGCCCGCACGGGAGCCAGATCCTCCATGGCCTTGGGAGAAAACAACTGGAGCGCGCATATTTTTCTCAGCATGCGCCACCGCGCACCGTAGTGGGCGAATATGAGATCCTGGTGGTTGTATGCGATGTGTTTGACGCTGGTGCTGGTCGGCCGGCTGCAGACGTTGGCGTCGTTGCGGAGGATTTTGGCGGCGGTGGCGGCGGAATTGACGACGATCATGTCTACGAAGCCGAAGCGGAGGTGGATTAATGGGCCGTGGGCTTTGGAGAGGTTGTAGAGAGTTTGGTGAGGCTTTGGGCCGAGTTGGAGGAGGTTGCCGACAATGGGGGAGCCTTTGGGCCCCGGAGGTAAGGGGAGTTTGGATGTACGGTGGGCTCGGAGGGCCCGCGCGAGGAGGAGGGCGGAGAGGAGGAGGAGGAGGAGCGGGAGGAGGACGAGAGGGAGGATCGCCATGAGCAAGTAAAAATGATTTGTTAGGTTTCTCAGTTATCAACCATTATTGTGTATAAATAGGGAGATTGGGAGAGAAGACTGGCACGTGTGGTCAGGGATAGGTAGCACATGCTCGCGACTGTGGGTTGATGGAAATATGGAATACGTTGATTATTTGAGAAGAAAAGTCAGCTCAGCCTTCTCTCTCTCTCTCTCTCTCTCTCTCTCTCTCTCTCTCTCTCTCTCAATCCATCATAGAAATTTAAAATTTGTCATTTTATTTAAAATTGAAAATGTTATCGAATAAATTGTCTTTGAATATTAAACTTTATGAATTTTATTTTAAGATTGGTATTGAATAAGAAGGAATCATTTATTTGTTTGTTTTATATATTCCTTTGGGGAGTGAAGAATATAGATCAAAAAAATTCAATTTAAATTATGACGGTGGCATCAAGTGATAGTGATGATCATCGTAATTTAGTCAAAGGACACGGTTTGAAGGATTATAGTTGGGTGGTAAGAAAGTATCGATCTGTTGGTAAATGTTGGGTGGTGATCCGATGGTGGCAGTCAGGAGGCGGTGCTTTGGGCATGAGTAACAAACCAAAGTCCAACCACAACGCTCCATCCCAAGCACCGCTTCTTTGACCACTGCCGTCGTACTAATGCAAAATCGTTGCCATCAAACCACTGCAACCGGATCATAGTCACCTGATTACGACCATCCAACCAACGTAGCCCAACTATGTTCGCTATATTATAGTCCCCCAACTATCATCTACGACTACAATCCTCCATATATGATTTTGCTGAAAAAAATTAAAAGAGATTTCAATAATTAAAATATCTTCAAATAAAAATTTAAGAAATGATTATAACCAATATTTTTATTCTTTGTTTATGTGAGAATATTTTTGAATTAAATTTCCTTAGCACCTTTAATAAGCCATTACTAAAACTACTTTAAAAAAATGGATTAATTCCATACCTTGTTCCAATCTGAAAATAATTATTTTGTAAATGATAAAGATGTGCTCAGCTATCACCTGCACTTAGGTATTATTTGGGGCGGCTTTTTTATTTTTTTTAATTAATTTTTTAGTATAAAATTTTTAATTTTTTTACTAAAAAATTATTTTAAGAACCAGCAAAAATGCCATTCCAAATCAGATATTAGTCAATCTTTGTATAAAATTATTTTAGTTAGTTTATTGAATAATTATTTTCTTGACTAAGATGTTGAAATTTGAAGGGTTAGGAAAATGACGGTAAGTATGCTTTTTTTTTTTTTTTTTTTTTTTTAGGGTTTTTTTTTTTTTTTTTTTTTGAAGGTTTATTTTCTGGACAGGTAAAGAAATTCAAGGCTATCAATAACGGTAGCTTTACTTAACCTCAGTGACAATAAGAAAAGAACAATATCTTATAGAAATCAAGTCATTTATTCAGTTGAGGACTTACGCAGTCTGTTTGATTTGTGGCATTTGTAATCTAATATATTTTATATGTTATGTATTTTGACATTTTAGGGATTTGATAGTGATATGTCATAAAAAAATTATCTTGATCGGGCACGAATATCGATGCAAAATCAAGTTGGAAACTTCCGAAATTAAAATTGGGATCATCTGAACTCCGATTTAAGCAAATTTATAGTCGAACTGAGCGTCTCGAGAATACGAACCCATCGACACCAAATCCAACCCAATCTGAGCCCAAACTGGTCCAAATCAAGGGTTAAAAGTGATGTTGGAAGGTTCGAACCACAATTTGGATTACCAAACGGTTTCCAAACATAACATGCTTATAGTCGAATCGAGCGGCTCGACGAGACGAATCCAATGAGCCCAAGATCACCAAAATCTGACATCAATAAGACATTCAAATGACCATCAAACAGTCCATGATCAAGGGATTCAACATCGGCCGCCCATCTAACCACTCACCATTTACTTTTTATCTCTCGCCTATTTACGGGCCATGTCACTCTAGAAATTTATAAATAGACTCCTCATTTCTCTTGAAAGAGGATCCAAGCAAGAAGAGAAGAAGGAAGAAGATAAAGAAGAGAAGGAAGAAGCTCCTCCTCAACCACCGCCTGAGTTCACCTGAGGACCTCATCTTTGTTAGGCCACCACATGAGGCCCTCACCTTCGCCGGACCACCACCTGAGGCCCTCGTCTTTGTTAGACCACCACATGAGGCCCTCACCTTCGTCGAACCACCACCTGAGGCCCTCGCCTTCGTCGGACCACTACCTGAGGCTCTCACCTTCGCCGGACCACCACCTGAGGCCCTCACCTTCGCCGGACCACCACCGAAGGCCCTCGCCTTCGTTGGACGACCACCTCAAACCCTCGCATTCGTCGGACCGCCACTTGAGGCTCTATCCTTCACGGGACCACCACCTTAGGCACTCGCCTACGCTGGCCCACCACCTGAGGCCCTCGCCTTCATCGGACCACCACCTGAGGCCCTCGTCTTCGTCGGACAACCACCTAAGGCCCTCGCCTTCGCTGGACCACAACTTGAGGCCCTCACCTTCGCAGGACACTACTTGAGGCCCTCGCCTTCGCTAGACCATCAACTGATGCCAGAGTTCTGCCAAGTCTCTATTAGACTACTAACTGACGTCCCAACTTCCAAGTGACGCCATATTTTAACACTAGACTTCAACCATACGGTTGACATTTGTAATCTAATCGCTCTAAAGGACGAGTCAGCCCACTGTACTCAACTCATATTCTAGTGAAATTTTTTCAATTGGGCTAGGCCCCTCGGGTTTTCCCCTTTTCCAGGGTTTTCCACGTAAAAAATTTTGTGTTCTATGTGTGTGAGCTCGATATCTGTGCAACATTAAGATGTATAATTACAACTCTATCGCCGCATATATTCTAGCACATGCTCGAGCCTGTGGGTGGATGGAATACGTTGATTATTAGAGAAGAAGAGTCAGCTAAGGCGTCTCTCTCTCTCTATATATATATCTCAATCAATTATAGAAATTTAAAATATGGCATTTTATCTAAAAATGGAAAAGTTATGGAATAAATTGTCTTTGAATATTAAACTTTATGAATTTTATTTTAAGATTGGTATTGAATAGGAAAGGATCATTTATTTGTTTGTTTTATATATTCCTTTGGGGAATGAAGAATAGAGGCCAAATTTTTTAATTTAAATTATGACGGTGACATCAAGGGATAGTGATGATCATTGTAATGTAATCGAGGGACATTATTTGAAGGATTATAGTTGGGTGATAAGGAAGTATTGGTCTGTTGGTAAATGTTGGGTGTTGATCTGATGGTGGCAGTCAGGTGGCGATGGTTTGGGCATGAGTAACAAACCAAAGTCCAACCACAATGCTCCATCCCAAGCACTGCTAGCTCGACCAATGTTGTCGTACTACTGCCAAATTGTTGCCATCAAACCACTGCCATCGGGTCACAGTCACCTGATTACGACCCTCCGACCATCGTATCCCAACTATTTTAGTCAGATTATAGTCACCCAACTATCATCGTTCGACTACAATTTTTCATATGTGAATTTGAAGAATAAAATTAACATAATATATAATATCATATACAATCTAATAAAAAGAGATTTTAACAAGTAAAATATCTTCAAATAAAAATTTAATAAATAATTATAACCAATATTTTTATTCTAGCAAATTATTTTAGTTAGTTGATTGAATAATTATTTTCTTGACTAAGATGTTGATTTTTTTTTTTTTTTTTTTTTTTGTTCATTTTCTGGACAGGTAAAGAAACTCAAGGCTATCAATAAGGGCAGCTTTACTTAAACGTCGGTGACAATAAGAAAAGGACAAAATCTTATAGAAATAAAGTCATTTATTCAGTTGAAGACTTACGCAGTCTCTTTGATTTGTAACATTTGGAATATAATATATTTTATATGTTATCTATTTTGAAAATTTAGGGATTTGATAGTATCAAATTTCAAATGCAATATGATTCATTAATGAATTCAATATTTGACGTATAGTTTAATTTTAGCGTATTAAGAAGAAATGACCATTTAGTTGATTTTCAAATATAGTATAAATACTCTATTATTAGGTGTCCCTAGCCAATCGCTACCACCGATTTGCATCGGTGCCGGCATTAGCGTCCGGTCACTGGACGTCCGGACACCCAATATAGACGCGCCACGTCACCCGAATAACACTGGGTCCTGATGGATTAGTGTCCGGAACGTAATAATTTTCCCCTTGACTGACACCACCACTACTAGCCACATTTTATTGCTCACCAGCCTTGTTATTTTGAACCAGCCGATTCAAATTCCATAAGTTTTAAATATTTTTTTAATAAATTAATTAATATATATTTAAAGCATTTAATTTCAATTATAATATATTTTTTATTATAAACATTTTCTCTCAAACCATCAAAATGTAATATAAAATAATAATAATTTATATTAGATTATCTGGTTATATGTAAATTAAATTTAAATTAAAAATCAAATTTAAAATTTGAAAAATATTTAAATTTAAAATTATCATATTTTTATGATGTAAATTATTATAATTATGATATATAGATTTTTTTGCTTTTATGTGAGATTTTAAAATAATTCTTTTACTTAATTATGTAAGTTTTATGTTTCATAATTTTTTTTAGTTTAATTTGTTTTTTCATACTTTGAATGATGACATTATTATTGTGTTAATTTTATTAAATTTCAATAATATTCATTATTTATTACGTCATAGGTTCGACCCCGGTTAGACTGGTCGAATCGTGAACCTTTCCTTCTTCCGGTTCGTTGTCCGGTCTGATTTTCACAACCTTCATACAAAAATATCTTGATAAATTTTATTCCAAAAATAACATCTTTATGCTAAGTTTTGAATTTTTTATAAAAAATTTAAATGATTTAAACACTGAAAAAAGAGTTGGAACTTAACGGTTCAGATTAGACCTGCAATCAATCCACCATTATTGATCTCCTCTTAAACTCAAAGGCTTCAGCAATACTTCAATGACTAATCCATAATATATTTTTCCCGCCCCATTCTCTAACGGCCATGGAGGCCGCCGTAGCGGCGCCAAGCCGATCCTTCATCGTCTCGGCGATCAAATCTTCCATTGATCAGAAATTCCTCTCATTTGGACAATCTCTCCATGCTATTGCCGTCAAAATCGGATTTTTACCTGAAATACTTCTCTGCAATCATCTCATCAACATGTATGCGAAATGCGACAGCTTGGACAATGCGCACAAAGTGTTTGATGAGATGCCTGAGCGAAATTTGATCTCTTATTCCACTCTAGTTTCAAGCAATTCTCGATCTGGAAGCCCTAGACTTGCCTTGCATCTCTTGTCCCAGTTGCAATCACAAGCTTTCTGCCCGAACCAATTTGTCTTCTCGAGCTCCATTGCGGCGTGTGCAAAGCTGAACTCGCTCGGTTTTGGGCAGCAGATACACGCACAAGTTATTGCTTCCGGTTTTGAATCAGACTTCTTTGTTAGTACTACACTGGTTGACATGTATTCGAAGTTCGGTGAATTGGATTTGGCTAATTCCATCTTCAAGAAATCTGAAGCTAAGGATCCTGTTTTGTTTAATTCCATGGTTTCTGGGTATGTGAGCTCTGGTGCTCATGAAGAAGCTTTGCTTCTTTTTGGAGATGAAAGGAAATTTGGTTATTTTAAACCAACTGAGTTCAGTTTTGGTATCCTCATAAAAGCCTGCTCTGATCTGAACAAAGAAATTGGACTGCAATTTCATGGTTTGATATTGAAATATGGGTTCAATTCCAACTGTTTTGCTGGAACTTCTCTTGTTGACTTGTATGGTAGGCTTGGACATGTGGAGAGCTTGGAAAAGGCCTTCGAGGAAATCCTGTCTTGCGATATCGCTTTGTACAATGCAATGATTGGCGGTTTTTCGAGAAATGGACTCGATCTTCTTGCACTGGATTGTTTCAGTGAACTTCTATTTGAAGGCTTCACCCCTAATGAGTGCACCTTAGCTAGTGCACTCAAATCTAGTGCTTTGCTGAGGTCTCATTGCTGGGGAAGCTTGATTCATGGCGTTGGGGAGAAGTCCAAATTCAGTGAACATCTCATAGTAAAGACTGCTTTGATAGATATGTATATGAAATGTGGGAAAACAGAGGAAAGTTGCAGTATCTTTGATTCCATGATTGAAAGAAACACAGTCTCTTACAATTCAATGATTTTTGGATTAGGCCAGAATGGATATTTTGATAAAGCAGTGAGACTTTCTACTGAGATGAAGTCCTTGTATATAGAAGTTGACCCATCAACCTTTGTTGCTTTAATGAATTCTTGTTTGGGACAAGAGTGGGTTGTCTATGGTGATGCAGTTAAACATGGACTTGGTTCAGACCTGATGATCAGAAATGCACTTCTTAGTTGCCTTATCAAGAAAAGCTCTGCAGAAGAAGCTCTTGGATTTTTCAAAAAGATGAAGGAGAGAAATGTTGTTTCATGGACAACTATCATTTCAGGACTCACTCAACTGGATCTTCATTCTAATGCTATTGAAGTTTTCAAAACTATGTGTTCCTCTGAAATCTTTCCTAATAGTTTCACTTTTTCCAGTGCCTTGAAGGCTTGTGGGAATTTAGCTAGTATAAAGCAAGGAAGGTGTGTTCATGCAAGTGGAATCAAGTATGGAGTCATGGATGAGTACACCAATAGCTCTCTTCTCGACATGTACGCGAAGTGCGGGGTTTTGGAAGACAGTAGAAGATTGTTTGAAGAGATTGGTAGCGAAGAGATAGTGTCTTGGAACACGATGATCACTGCATATGCACAACATGGACGAGGCCGAGAAGCTCTAGAGATATATACTATGATGCAAGAGCGAAATTTGGAGCCAAACCATGTTACTTTCGTGTCGCTTTTGTCTGCTTGCAGTCACTGCGGTTTGCTAGATGTTGGAATCGAACTTTTCGAGCTAATGGTTTCGAAACATAGAATTGTTCCTCTTATGGAGCACTATGCTTGCATGGTTTATTTGTTTGGTAGGGCAGGGTTTCTGGATCGAGCAAAGCTGTTCATTGATGGTATGCCATTTGAGGCTGATGCATCAATATGGACAGTATTTTTAGCTGCTTGCAAGCTCCATGGAAACTCTGAGCTAGCACAGTTGGCAAGGAAGAAGCTTGATGGAATGCTTTGTGAAGATAATTCTACACTTGTCCTTGTGTCTAATATGTTCTCTGAAGAAGGAAAATGGGATGAGGCTGAAAAGGAAAGAAATAAGATCAGCTGGGATGGTATGGGAAAGGAGCCTGGACTTAGCTGGGTCCAAATTGCAGAAGCTTTTGCTTGACTAGCACAAAGAGTGGACATTTTATTTTGTTTGGATAGTAGGAAATTGCAGCTGGTGTTCTGAGGGAAATAAGAAAATTCATGGAGATATTTGATGGGCAGAACACATTAAACACTGAAGTTGGTAAACTTCGACATCCAGCAACTTTTCTAATTACTATGTACTAATTTGGTATTCATTCTATGCTGGTTAAGGTTATTAAGCAAAGTCCTACATGGGGTCCTGCTTGGGTACCCATGCTTTATTCGGACGGGCTTTGCCCATCCACGCCCATCCATGGCGATTTTCAGGTTTCCGTACCCACCTATACACACCCACTTTATATGTTTTTTGAACGCAGTCTGTCATGGACTGATGGCCTTAAGGCTTGTTGCTCTTTGCTCTGATTGCAAACTTTCAAGCCTCATTTCAGTATTTATCGTAGTCGTAGCGTGATTAAGTGCTGCACACTACATAGTGAGGATTATAATAATATAAGATATACGGTGATTAATAATGTAAATCAATTTATCCCCGTACCTAATGGAGGGCTCTGTTATTAAGGAGGATTGAAGGGTAATTTGATGTAAAAAGTTTTCTGATTTCATCTCAAACTTTTCTACTCGATACTTATTTAGTACACGACGATTACAAAGCAATACGCAAATTTGTGTTCTTTTTTAGGGAGTAATCAGAGATATGTAATCCCTCCATGGGAAGATGAACAATCCTCAGGTTGTGATGCCTTCATGAAATAACTGAAAACAGAGAGAATTCCTTGTTGTTATGTGTGGAATTCTCCTTATTATTGTAAATACTTTACATGTAAAAGTTCACATATTAATTGCTTGAATTATACTGTGCTGAGTCTCCAAAGACCATTTTTGGAGTTAGAACTCAATTCGCAGTTTGCTCTCACTGATGACTTTTTTATGTTAGAATCATTAACCAAATAAATGGACAATTTGTTCTTTTAATTTTACTCATTTTTATATGAATAGGAGGTTAACACTAAGGTTTCATTTTGAGACAATTTTTTTAATACTTCTTAAATCAACTTTCTGAGTACAAAAAATTTAATTTTTATACTAAAAATTTACTTTAAAAAATAGTAAAAAAGGCATCTCAAATGAAGACTTTGAGAAGACTAAGACTTCGTTCGGGGCGGCTTTTTTATTGCTTCTTAAAATAATTTTCTTGTCTAAAAATTTAAATTTTTATAGCTTTCTTGTCCTAAGGCTTCGCTTTATTACCACTACTTAAAAGTAACTTTTGAGTATAAAAATTAAAATTTTTATAATAAAAATTTACTTTAAGTAGTGAAAAATTCATGCAAAAAAAACAAAAACCTAATTTATGAGTTGGGAGCAGTAATTTAATATTTTTCTGTAGTTCGTTCTCTCTCTGATAACATTTTTTGTTGGAATCATTAATCATATAAAAAGCCAATCTCTTCCTCTAATTTGAATCATTTTAACATGAGCAGGAGGTTAACTCTTATTTGCTAGATAGTATTAGTACTGGAAGAGAGAGCCCTGCATTGGATACCCATATACGCACCCACCCACGTCCCACCCATACCCAATGGGCATGGGTGGGTATGGGTACGCCCATGATCTCGTGGGTGGGTATGGATGGGTAATCAACATCAAGGGACAAATCAATTTATATTATTAATCATCATATGCATGTTGTATATTATTATAATCCTTACTATGCAGTGCACAACACTGAACCGCATCATGATCACGATAAATTTTGATATGTGGCTTAAAAGTTTGCAGTCATAGAAAAAGGCAAAAAATCTCAAGGCCCTTAATCCGCGGCATACTGCATTCAAGAAGCGTGGAAAGTGGGTGGGTGTGGGCGGGTATGACATCCCGAAAGTCACCATAAGTGGGCAGGATGGGCAAAGTCTGCCAACTCAGAGCGTGGGTACCCAATCAGGATCTCATATAAGACTCTGCTATAAAACCAATAAAACTGGCAACCATATGTACAATTGTTGTCTTAAATTTTTTTTTCTTTTTATTTTAAATGATTAGCAATATATTATAGGAGAATTTACATAAATATCATAAAAATTTTATATATTTAATATTTAAATCGTTATATTTATTGATATATCATTTTTGTAATCATTATAAAATACATACATGAAAATAAATAATTTACTTAAACTAAATTAAAATTAATAATATGTTTAATGTGACTTGTAAATTTGAATGTTAAACAAATATTTATTTATTTATTTGGACCATTAATCACCATAATATTTTAATAAAATGATATGGCTCCCCGGTACGTAAGTGAGTTTATCTCGACAATTAAATTAAAAATTAATCAAAATTGCATCAAAATTTAGCTCAATTAGAACTCACATTGACCAGATTTACATTATATTTATCATTAGATAAAAAAACCTTAGAGCAAATTTTTTAGTTGGGCTAGAGTCAAATAACGTCTTCTTAAAGTCAACACATAACATTTAGCATGCAAATTAAATATTTTTTAAGATTTTAAAAATCAAAATATTAATAATTTAGAACTATCTCAATTCAATTTTGAAATAAATCAAAATGAAATTAATTTGAGCCATTTCACTTTTGGCTTCGATTGGCCATGATGAACCATTCTAATCCAATTCTTTGATCTCTAAATGAGGAACAATTATTAGGTCCGGTGACCGGACGTAGCTCTACGTGCAGTCACCACTGAGATCGCCACGTGCTCTTACTCTTTACCGCGCGGCACAACGACTTGATCCGGACCGGAACCCGGGAATGCTATGTTCACGTATTGCTATTTATTACTCAGTATTTGCTCGGTATTGCTTGGCAATAACGAGAAATACCACTCTATGAAGACCAATACCGAGCAATACCGAGTTTTTTTAACTCGGTATTGCTCAGTATTACTCGGTATTGCTCGATATTTGTCTTCACATAATGGTATTTCTCGTTATTGCCGAGCAAAATCGACAAATACCGAGCAATGCCTACCAATACCGGGTTGTCATGGATTTAAAAAACCCACGTGCGACATACCCACTATTCGCCGGGTCGGGTCCGCGGTTTTGTGCCTACTACGTGGCGTGATCTCGGTGCCAGCCGAACGTAGCTCTACGTCCGTTCACTAGACCAAATAAAAGTTCATAAATGAGAGTACTTAACTTGTTTATGATTCAGCTTTTCATAAATCATTAGAAATAATTACCATAATTATATTTAATTACGCTTTTAGCTATTTTTAAAATATTGTGATAAAATGATCTAGTGAATGCACCTTAAATTTTTTTCTCTCAGATGCATAATACTTTCGAAAGCTTGGCTTGCATTTCTTCTTCAACAACTGAGAATATTTCCTTGACCCTGTGACACAAGAAATATCAAGATCATCAACAAGAAGAGTTGTTACCAAAACAAAGCAGTAGCGCACTATAGCATAATATTATAATGTTTTTAGATCATTGGTCAGTGCCAAGCCATTTTGTAGAGAAAATTATTCCGTGCGGAGTTCAGAAGGGAAGAATCGTTCAGACATGTAAGAGTACATATTGTATATAAATTTATACACTGTGTATCAACTTTTTATACACTGTTTGTACACAGTGTGTAAACTCATAGTCCGAACGGATCTTCCCGTCCGGACTCCGCACTGAATAATTTCTCCAATTTGTAACACTAAGATTTTGTTTGGGACAACTTTTTATTGCTTTCTAAAACAATTTTCGATTACAAAAAGTTCTTAAACTAGAAATTTTTATAGTAAGAAGCTACTTTATAAAGCAAGAAAAAAATCATCCCAATTGAAGCATAAGTACAACAATGGTCATACAGCTCGATTATCACCAGAGTTCTACTTAATTGCAAATCTTTCAAAGGTTTACTTAGTTCAGTAATATCAAACAAACGTATAATCATTATTATATAATTAATTTCTAAGTTTTATATGCCATCAAAATCTTTGAGAATGTAAAGAGACAAGGGAACATACCTATGCATATTTATATTCAAATCAGAAATCCATGTGGCTAAATACACCTGCAAGAAAATTTTGTATGAACAAATGAGAGTAAGAGCGCCATAAATAAAATATAGACACTTGATTGTAAATTTACAGAGAAAGTTATCCATGATCATTCACAACATAAGCAATGATCATATTATCATATAAAAGAGAGAAAATGATAGGTATAACCATATTTTAACACCTTCTACTGCTTCCACATATATCTATTCATAACAAAGCAAAGGAATTATATTTCAAGCTAATCTTAATACTGGATAATCTGTTCAAAGTTCTCATATCACATCATGGGTAAAAAGATCAAGCGATTGGAAGTTCAAAAGGTGAAGGCGAGCATCACAGAAGGAAGATTAAGACCTCAGAAATTAGATCATTAGATAAAAATTTAAATTACAGCATAAAAAATGAGTTTTGAATTTTGAACTTATTTAGGTTAGATTTATATTTTAAAATTTAAATTCTATACAAGAGTTTCTATTTTTTAGAGAGTTTGAAAATGCAATGGTTGTTCATTGTTTTATAGAATTAGTTTCTGAAAGATAAAATTCCTCCTAAATTATTTAGTTTAGGAGAAAATAAGATTAAATTCAAATTAATTCCACTTAGAAACTGCCTATTTAAAAGTTTTGATTACTATACTGAAAAAAAAAATCCAAATTTATCCAAATCACTCTTTATTTTTCCAATTGCCTCTACTCGACATTGTAGCAGGTCCACAGCAAAGTCATAGCAGTTTTGCAAGCCGCAGCTGACAAAAACGCTATGCGGATCTCCGAAAGGGTGCTATGAACGGGGATCAGAATCCTAATTTCTTCACAGTTTCTTCGGGAAATCTTAGCTCTCACCTAAATAAAATTCAGATCAATTCCAAAATGTTTCCATATCTAATTACAAATCCAATCTTCTACAAATAAATAAAAACCCTCCCAAGATACAAAATTTTTAAAAGATGCTATTGCATCTTAACAATAGCTCAAGGAAATTAATGCGACACTCAAAATATAGGATGAAATTGTTGATATTTATACAAAGCATAAAGCATGTCTATTTTGACAAGTAAACTACTAAATTAAATGTGAAATGAAATGAAAATTTGATATTCAACTAAGGAGAAAAAAGAACAAGTACGTCCCTGTGGGAAAGACTTGAGAAAAACATACTGAAAGTAATCATTAATCTCAAATCATGCAGGTATGAAGGATGCCTTAAGTAGAACTAAAATAATAATAATAATAATAATGAATATAAAATTTCAGATTTTATAGATACTAAAATATAATACCTCTAAAGTATTATGGTTTGGAGACTTGATAGTTGTCCTGTTTACAGGATTACTTGATTCATAATCCTTGATTTGAGGGAAAACTGTATAAAAACTATCTTGCTTAAGCATTCCAATGCATCTCAGGTCATCAAATTCTCCGAGATAAAGCTCATTTGACCAATCTAATACATCTTTTCTCCCATCTTCCACGCCATTGATGGATAGCAGACCAATTACAAGAAAACGCTGTTCATTGCAAATAATTACATAAGAAGAGATAACCAAACACGTCTTACAATAATTTGTAAACTATAGTTGAAATAAAAGTGAAATCTTAGAGTTAAAAAAAAAACTGATGAATTATAACAAATTTTAAGCAAAAATGAGAAGACATGAATGCACGCATGCAAGTCAAATTTGCACACTACTACCACTAAATTTCTCGCAAGTTTGTTGAGAAATAAATTTATAAAGAAAGAATCAATACCTTCAAGCTAAGTTCCCTTTCAAACATATTGACAAGTTCACGGGCCAGATCCTCTGTAATTTATTTTTCAACATTAGGAACCCACTTCGATTTCAAATATATGATTAAATATGCAGTAAAGAAATAGAAACATTTATATTAATGAAAAAAGAAATTTGAGTTAAAATAGCACATCAGAGCATATGTGATAGTATCTAAATTTTGATTGTTGAAAATATGAATAAGAATACCCAGCATCCAAAACATGCTGCATGATAGTCCAACACAATAAAACCAATCTAAAGTTTACACAACTTGGAACTTGGAAGTAGTCATCCAAAATCAATTCTTATAAATGATCATATCTATCAGAATATATTTGATCAAATATAAGGATCTGCATTCAATAAGTGCTTCTTAAAACAAGATGATTTACAAACTGAACACTAAGGCAACTCCCTAAAATGTTTTCACCCATTCCCCTCGAGGCTAGAAATTCAAAACCGAGAAATAGCCCATCAATGTCAAGCAATATAAGGTTGGATGTACTCCCCACCTGATACCAGTGGAAATCTTATGCAATAAATATGCCTCTTACACATTGGCTGGGTTTACTAAAATAATATATTTAAAAAATTTCGGTATAAAAAATGGGAAATTTTTTTCAGAAATAAGTTGGCAACAAATGATACCCATGATCGAGATTGAAAGGCAACAAAACACAGGAATTCCACCACCATCGCCAGAGTCACTGGGATCCTCTTGGTGATCACAATATTGTATAATTGGGTCGGAACTTGACCCTTTCAAATAACATCTCATTGAGCACGATGCTTTACCCAAGTCATTAACAGCAGCCACCTGAAAATGTAATACTGTTATAAGATAACATTTAAGGGGGTTTCATTGCGCGCTTTAAGATAAAAAGCTAAAAGAATGACCAAATAAAGCATACATTAATAAGTATAAAAATCCATGAAGAAAAGTTAAAAGGTATAATATGTCGAATGTAAAACAACAGGAGAAGATTTATCAACATTAATACAAAAGGTTTGATGGTTTTTTTTTTTTTGTTATGTCAAATACCGTACAGACAATTGGAAAAGTATTTCAATATTTCATGTTTGTGTCTAACACATGATGAATTATTTTGTGTGGACACTAGAAGGGGAGCACCGCCCGGTTTGTCTCTATGAACAGTAAAAGCACAACTTCACTACACTTTTATTGTTCATGCCGCGCTTTTACTGTTCACAGACATAAAACCGGACATTTCTTCCGGCCCGGTGTCCGCACAGAATAATCTTTCCTAACACAGACACACTTAACGTATGTTTCATTGAAATTAATCAATGAATTTCTTATACCTTGAGAATTTAATAATGACTTATTCTTAAACAAAAATTTATAAATTGAAACCCATTCTTGATTAGGAATAATTTATACTACATCATTCTATCAGAATATAAAATTAGCTTAAAATAATTTCCAAAAAACTCTTATAGATTGAGAATATAGTTTTACAAATTGTTAATTAGAGTTATTTTTGCTTTTAATCATATATATATATATATATATATATATATCATTGAATCAAAATTCATACGTGTAAAAATGCCACATTAAAACCTGTGGGTATTGGAATTATTTCTATGCATGCATCATAATGAGTTAACATCCATGGAGATGAGTTGATCAATCACAAATTCTTGTGTATTAATGTGTTCCAAAGTTTGTTGAGTTTTGGCCTTCAATGAAACTATCATGCATTCTTATATGCACTCGATCGCATTCAAATGCCTCAGTTTGCACACCACTTAAATTTTCAAGCAATTTCATGTTTTTCGAGCATCATTTTTGAGATACTTGTCATAATACATTACGAGCTCATTGCATTGCTTTACAGGTTGCATGATTTCAATAACATTGTTCACAATTTCCAAGCATCAATTCATGTGTTATTTTATCAAGCACATCATGTCATGTGGTATGACAACTTCATTACATCGACTTGCATGATACATGATTTTAATGAGGCATTTTGTGGCTTGTGCGTATCATTTTTATAAATGAATGCATGGTAATTTTATCATATTAATTATTCACATTACTTGTTCATCATATGATGCTAATATATGCTTTCTTTATGCTGCTTGTGAGGTGTGTATGTATCTCAGTTGACGTGTCTGGTCTCCCCATCGAGGGAGGTATTTTATTCATTTAGGTGTTCAAATGCGTCAAGGTATGCTACTCGATCAATTCAAACCGCCCTGGTTGAGGTACAATCTCTCTTACTTTTCAAACATCTCTTTGTATGTTGTGATGGGTGCACACACTACAATTGGACTGTGTTAGTATGAGCTGCCATTTATTGATATGTGATACAGGTTAGAAAAAAAATGATAAATTGAAAAATCTTAGCTTAGCCATTGTTTATAAATATAGGAAATTAAGCTGAGCATTATCTTTTTTTAATTAATTATCATTCTTAAAGTAATACATCAAAGTGCTACTTTTTTAATTTCTAAAACATCTGATTGGTCAACAAACTTTTAAACAAATTAATAGGATGATAAATTTTTTCATATATGAAATAATAGACTACTACATGATAAAGCATAAAAATATCTAAATTCCTATATCAGATAACAAATAAACACTTACTAACTTTTTTTTAAAATAAAATTTCATATTAAGGTGTCATACTCCACTACAATGATACTAATGCAATGAACAAAATCATAACTCTAACTCTATTGTTAAGAGTTTTAACTTTTAGCTACAACAAATTTAATTCAAATCGGTGCAACAAAAAAAAAGACAATCCATACACCCAACATGACTAACCTTTCTATTGGAAGAACATCTCTCAAACTTATATATGATTGTAATAAAAAGAAGTGCATGCTTTGTGATGCCAATAATATAGCAATAATTTAAGCTATTTTTTGCTCCTTTTTTCACCTATCATAAATGCGTAATGTAGTAAAAATTTAAATATATTACATATGTTTACAGAAATTGTCAGTTATAATGTATTGTCGTAGTACTAGATCGGGGCACATTGATATAAAAACTAATTCATTAAATATAGGTAAGATATTAATGCAAATAATCACAAATATACTAAATAATATGCTTAATTTAAATATCAATAATTCAAACATTTGTAGCTAGGAATATTGGAAATTCTTGTTAGTATGGGGCAAAAATAAAAGAGATAAGAGAACGATGTAAAACTATTTCATAACATATAATTCAAAGCCAAAACTAATAAACCGTACATACCATATTCTTGTAAGAAGATATAAGCTTGTGCCGACACAAATCCTGGAGGAAATTAAATTTCATTGGTGGAAATGATGAAGTAAAGGATACAGAGAAAAGGAAAAATAAAAGTAATTCTATAAAAGAAGGAAAGAAGATTCCTGTAGACTAGGAGTAAAAAAACAAAGGTTTAACAGAAATTACCTGTTTATGAACCAATTTATCATAAGCTTTCTCCCTTATTCCTGGGATTTCAGTAAGAACACCCAGATTCATCTCTGGCAAGTACCTAACAACAATTCAAACCCAAATTATTGTCAACTTTAGCTCATAAAATAAAACAAAGCAAAACTTTCAAGAGATTCAAATCTGTCCTGCCTTCGTTTAAGGTAGGTATTAACAAGTTCAGTGGTATGTAATCTCCCCTCTAATGTGGCTGAGACCCAACGGTCCTTGCTCATGAGAAGCTTAGACCATTGATTCTTGATGTTTCTTTGTGCAGCTGGTCTCCACAACCTCGATGAACATGAAGACAAAGGTGGAGAGATGCAGTTAGGGCTTGCAATACTGGAATCTGTCAGTCTGGATGAGGGGAGAGGAGTCCCCTTATGTAACATTGCCCGCTCCAACTAGCAAGAAATTTCAACAGCATCAAAAACACGAGTAAATTTTTACATTTTCAATTAATGCAGCAATTAGAAAGCAAAATATCTTAAATAACACTTATCTATAAATATAAACTAAAGCATTTAAAGTCTAGTAACATTCATCTACTTTATCCACCAAAATCTAAATGAAACCACACTATTATTGACATTCATAAAAAATAAAAAAAATAAAAATTCACATGCATCTATTCAAGTTATATTAATTTATATTAAGATTAATAAGATAAAAATACTATTTTAGAAAATTAGGTTTCAATTCTACAGACTATTTAAGGAGGAATTGAGCGAGATTTAAGTAGGGTTTAGCCTAAATCCTGAAAAACAGCAAAAATGACAAGTTTAAAGGACTGTTTGGATGCAGGATTTGAGCAGGATTTAGCCTAAATCATGCCAAATAGCAAAAATGACAACTTAAAATCCTATAGTAACATAGATCAGGTTCCTTTACCGTTTTTCCACAAATCTGGATTTTGTAAATCCGGTAGTTCCACGGTTTTACGTGATTCAGTGCGGAAGGGAAAAAATATCGCTACCTTAGCTTCGAGCTCTCGTCGCGACTTCCAATCCGACCGGAACAACGTCGTAGAAGAAAGCAAAGTGGCTTCTTAAGCGATTCATTCAAAATACTTCTTCAGGCGAAGTACGCGAAACCGATCCGACGTCGTAAGGCGAAGTAGCTTATTTAGCGACTATTTACGCAGGATTCGAGCAAACGGGATTTGCGAGCCCCGTAAATATCACGGCGGAATAAATCCTCCTTTTTCCTCTATTTGCTGAAAATCCCGGATTTACTAAATCTGTAGTTTGGCGGATTTACGGGGTTTGGCCGAAGAAGCGCTCGAAGCGAAGAAACCTTCACAGTAAGCGAGCTCCGTCGTTTGGCTAGGAGCCTCAATTTTTGATGCCACTCACTTGAATCTGATCCTCGAAAATTCAGATTGTGAAACGGGTCGGGTTCAAATTCGGATTTTCGGCCCGTTTGAAAAATGGGTCAGATTCGAGTTAACTCAACAACCAGCGGGTCAACCCGAATTGACTCGGATCGAGTTTCATCTCGCATCAATCACGTCGAGTTCCGTCTCACATCTCACGCAGCGGCAAACTTGCATCCAATGCAAACTCACATTCAAACTCAACCCAGGGCACCCAGGTTCACGAGTCAAGTCGGGTCAACCCGCTAACCCGATGGATGGGGTTCGGTGGACAAACTTGACCCGTTTGCAAAAACGGGTTGGGTTCGAGTCAACCGTTTAAGTCCGGGTCAATTTGGGTTGAACCCGAATCCAACCCATTGATCCGAATTGACACCCCTGGTTGTTGCTTCCAATCAAGATGTACTCACTTACAATCCGACAATAATGTGATAATTAATAATATAATTTACAATCTTATACTTAATATATAATTAAATTCATAACACATTAAATTTAATTTTTAAATAAATCAACCGCCTTAAATCCTAGATTAGGTTGTGAAACAATTTCATAGGACTTAACAAGATTAACAGCCATTTTGCCAAACAATTTTCAAGATTTACATACCTAAGGTTTATTAAATCCTGAATTTACAGGATTTACTAAATTCTACTTTTGCCGAACAGCCCCTTCTTCAGGCAAAGACTTTGAAGAACCAGCAAAACAGCAAAAATGGCAAACTTCAAATCTTGCACAAACTTAAGGTTTCGTTTGGGACAGCTTTCGTATTGCTTCCTAAAACGGCTTTCTAGTATAAAATTTTCTAATTCAAGAAATTTTTTAATAGAAAACTGCTTTAGAAAGCAACAAAAAACTGTCACAAACAAAGCCGGACAGCTTTCATGCATACTGCTATTTAAAACGGCTTTTTATTACAAACTATCTAAATTTAAGAAATTTTTGTACTGTAAAGCTATTTTAGAAAGCAAGAAGATTGCCGTCCCAAACGAAACCTAAGTCTTTGTGTGGGACGGTATTTCTTAGACTTTTTAGTTCAAAAATTAAAATTTTAATATTAAAAAGCTGTTTTAAGAAGCAGTAAGAAAACCATCACAAATGAAGCGTAAATCTCATGAGGCTAAGCTACTTCCTAAAGTGAAAAAAACAACACGAACCAGATAAATAAAACTGCAGAGAAAGCAATTGGGCTAAGGATATCCCAATTCCCAGCATAAATTTGTTCATCATAAATTGCATGGTTTTGAAAGACATAACTAATCAATCCAAAATCACATTTCACTAATCTCAAAACTAATCCAAAATTTATAAAATCCATTTGGTCATATTGATGTCAGAATATCTTAACCTAAATAAGTAAATATTTTCCATTATTCACCTTACAGGTCATGAACCGATATCTAACTTCTTTAAAATGGGTAAAAAAATGTATGCTTCTCAGGTCAGCTTACCAAAAAGCTGTTTTTTTTGTTATAACAGTCCTATAACGGATCCTAACAGGCCTTAAGATGGGCAAATTATTAGGTCCGGACACCTGACAGAAATTCATCCGGATTTCTCTCTGTCTACAGTGAAGGCGCAGCTGCTACGGAACCTGCGCTTTCACTGTAGACATAAATAAATCCGTATGATTTTCTCTGTCAGGTGTCTGGACCTAATAATTTCTCCTTCAGATGAGGTTGCAAGCTGTGCAAGTGGCTGAACATTAAGGATGCCAGTATAATTATAATATGCAGGACTTGAAAGAATTTCTCAGAACAGTCTCATCCAGATCGCGTCCTGCAGAAATTTTCGGGTTAAGAAGATCAATTATATAAGTTGAATTAGAATGAAAGCAATTTCAGTTCTGAGGCATGCCTATGAAGACAATCTTGTTCATCTTTTGCTCTGTCACACGCCATCGCCGAGCAGGAACAACCTCGTATATTTCTCTCACTGCCTAGGAAGGAGTAAGAGGCACGATCCTCAAATTAGAGAAATAACAGATAAGCATGCCAATAACAACATGATTTTCTGTTAGGAAATCCTTGAAGATTTCAAGTAAAACCTAACAAGAGAGATGAGAACAGCAAATCGCTCCTCGAATTCAATGGGAAAATCAGCAAATAACATGTTTATTGATGAAAACAAAATTAACGGAAGAAACAAAGCAAGATACAATTGATCCTCAATTCGAGGGAGGATCGTTATCTCCCAATCCCTAGACAAATCTAATGCCCAAGACACCAACTACAAGAACTCCGAAATCAGCCACAAAACCCTAAACATCTCTTCCTATTTAATACATTAATTCAAAACTCCTAATTCAAATATTCCCTCCAACCCTAGCTGCCCCCCTCTGCTTACTTAATTTGCTTCCTAGTGGGATCCACTAGTCTTGGACGGCATCAAGGGGCGGTTTGTCCGCCTCTTGTATATCAAAGCCGGCCCTCCTTGGGCCGGCTGGGTCGGTTCAATGAGAACCGGCCTAACATTTTCCAGTGTTGAGGAATGGAGATTGCATGCATAAAAGAAGAATAAACTTTCTCCTAATTCCATTTTTATGACTTCTGTATTATATAATCTTTAGACTCAAAATCACATCATTATTAAGCTCATCACCAATATGAAAAGTATCTAAAGATTGGAATTTGTAAAAATTTTAAAATAGTTTGATCTTTCATCGACCGTGTGAAATAAGTAATGATGATTGGATTACATATTGAAATCCTATTAACATACTAAATTTTGTCCATATATTTTTCATCAAATACACTCGTAATATAATCACTGAATGTATTTAATTTCAAGACATTTGAAAGTCTCTATGCTTTAATCATTTTCTCAGGTATTGCTGGACTTCACAGTTGAAATAACTTTTATGTGAGAAATTAATGATAAAATAATCTTAAAAATTCTTGAAATCATAAATGAGAATGTTTAATCATGCCAACAAATATTCACATTAAAACCAGCGAGAAAACCCGAGTAAAAGTCCTAAGATTTGTAAATTCGATCATGCGCGGAGTAATGCGCAATTCATGTTATAAATGGCAAGATTTCACAAAAAAAGATCTGAAATATGCACTAAACAAAGTCTACTGGACCACTTTGAGCATTCATAAGACCACGCAACAAAATCTAAAAGATTTCCAACACTGGTAAGCAAGAAAGACAAAGCCTTATAAAAGTTTAGAATGCATTAGGACTAAAGCTTTACAAATTGAAAATCACGGGACCTTATTTCATCGAACTACTAGTAGTGTAATGGATTCTTATCTTTTAGAATTTCCTTATTGTGAATGCACATAATATCATCTCACTAGATATATCTACTCCGTTTGTTTTTGAAGTTATTATAGATGATGATATTATGTCCATTGTTAAAAAAAATGTCCATTGTTGGTAATGGATATTTTAGATAACTTAAACAATTTCATGACAAACCCACTTATGATGACTTATAGATTACTTTGTAGGAAGCATAATTATTATGCCTAGACTAGGCAAACATCAAATGCTTAATTCATTGAAACCAAGTTTTTTTCTAGCCGGGTATATTTATCGGAAATCTAATAGTAAACACTCTTTGAAAGCATATAAAAACAAAATGAACTTCAAGAGTAGCATTGTATTTTCCTTTAGTTCATATTTTAATTTTCAATTTTTTATTAAAACACTCCTATAATGTTGATCCTTCCAAGAAAGGGTTGTATTCACCAATACTTTAATTTCCTATTTAGATTTGGTTAAATATCAAAAAGGTCCCAATTCAATCAATATCATGAAAAGTTCTCAAGTGTTTTGGGTTTCTTTTTATAATTTAATTTTCTAATTGTTGGTTCACACCACCCAACCTACTTTGTCCATGTGCTATAGTGGTTTCTATATTATACTATCGTGCAACTTTCCTTATATGGATTAAGACACGTGCTGCAATCCTAAAAGAACTTTGGCAAGGAAATTGCTAAATAGTATAATATTGAAGCCACAGAAGAAAGCCACTAATTGCTACAGTCCCTAAGCTACAGAAGAAAACTCCCAGTTACTCTCAAAGCTGCAAAAGGAATCTCTATTTGTTACAATCGCAGAAGCATGGCCATGCAGGTTTCAACGTACAAAGAGCTTGTCATCTCCTTTAGGTTTCCTTTTAAGAATATTATAAACCGGAAATATAAGGAAAACAAAATTTTGATTCGTACCATTTGATGCTAGGAGAATTAGAGCTTGGGATTTTTTACAAGGACCAAGTGGATTCAAAGGAAATTTTTATTTTGGGCCCTCATGGGCTATACATATTATCCATGAGGCATGAAAACTTATTGATCATTTAGTGAAATAAAAATTTTTGTTAAATTCGATATTTGTTTGTATGATGTTGGATGTGAATTCTTTGAAACCTCTTGATGACTAGTTCCAAGAGTGAGTCTCCTAGCAACAGCATGAAGCTTGAATATCCATTTGGTAATTTATATCCTTGTTCTTGCTACTAATTTGCTTAGGGGCCCATGTGCCTACTAACTGACACGCGTGTAAATCTTGATCTTTGCAGAAATTTTATATTTTCTTCATTATTTTTCTTTTAAGAATTCATATTTTGTTGACTATTACATTATTATTTGGAATGAAAGATGCCTGTTTATTGTTATTGTATCAAACAAGCAACCTTTGCTAGCCTTAAGAGTTGGTAACCTGCAGAATTTGTTATTTGTGTGCTTTCATTGTGCATCTCATCTTAAGTTGAATTAATAAATCCTACACCTTTAAGTGTCCTACATCAGCTTCCAACTTGCAAGAAGGCACTTCAATAGTTAGTTCAATTCGTAAATTTACAACAACTAGAACGATTTTCAATGCATTGGACACAATGGCCTAAATGGTTGGCTGTGCGGTTGGGCATAGGAGCTTGACATAGTGGCGATGATGATGATGATGCATAAACTCCTTCCATGTTTTTTTTCCTTGTAGTTCTTATCCTTTGTTTATCCTTGCTATTGTCAATACTGAACTAAGAAGCAAAATATTTGAGAGCATAAACAGGAGTCAAAAGACTTAGAGAGAAAGGACTGTGGAGACAAGCCAAGAAGAAGGCTGAGAGAGTCACGGACCAGGACAGAGCCGGGATGGAGTAGAAACAGAGAAAATGAATTGTATTCTATTATATTAAAAAGAGATGTACAGGACTCCTTTAAATAGACAAGCTAAGGTAAAATGGAAATAAGTGACAGGTACATGATAACAATAGAATGTACATGCTAACATCCTCCCGCAAATTAAGCATTATGACTGTGAATGGTTAATTTGGATCGAAGCTCGTTGAAACGGGCTGTAGAGAATGACTTGGTTAGTATGTCGGCAACTTGATCTTTGGAAGGTATGTGCTTGATGATGATGCTTCCGGTATTGATGTGCTGCCGGATGAAGTGATAATCGATTTCGATGTGCTTCATCCGAGCTTGGAAGACAGGATTCTTTGCGAGAGCGATGGCCGAGACATTGTCGCAATGGATCGGCGTAGGAGATCTTTGTTCAATGTTTAGTTCTGAGGCTAAGCGACGTTGCCAGATAACGTCCGAGGTCGCGGGAGAGAGAGAGAGAGACCGGTACTCGACCTCGGCGGAGGATTTGGCCACGGTTGCCTGTTTCTTGACTGACCAAGAAATCAGGTTTGGGCCCAGGAAAGAGCAGAACCCGGATATCGATTTTCGGTCCGTGTGGTCGGAGGCCCAATCAGCGTCAGTATATGTTTGAAGTTGTAAGTCGCCGGTTGTAATCGGCAGACCATAAGAGATAGTGCCTTTAATGTAGCGGAGCAAGCGTTTGAGCGCTTCATAATCTTGGATGGTTGGATGTTGCATGTGTTGACAAACATGATTTGTCGCAAATGCTATGTTCGGTCGCGTAATAGACAAGTATTGGAGCGAGCCGGCAAGACGGCGGTAGAGAGATGGGTCATGAAATGGTTGGATGTTGCTCGGTTGATCTTTGGAATTAGGTGTGATTGGCGTTGGTGAGGCTTTGCAATCCGTGAACCCGACGTCATTGAGTAGCTTACTGGCATAGTGCGCCTGGGTGAGAAAGTAGCCTTGGTTCGTTTTCTGAACTTGTATCCCAAGGAAAAGTGAAATATGCACAAGTTGCTTGAGGGAAAAGGCCAAGTGTAAGTCTTTAAGTAGTGATTGAATCATAGTTGGATCATTGCCTGTGACAAGAAGATCGTCAACATAGATTAAGAAAAATATTTGGATTTGATTTTTAGTGAAGATGAGTAAGGAGGGGTCGGAACGACTGAACCGGAATCCTTTTGTCTGTAGAAAGTCTGTGAGCTTTTGGAACCATTGTCGGGGAGCCTGTTTGACTCCGTAAAGAGACTTGTGCAGCTTGCAAACCGAATGCGGTGATTGAGGATCAATGAAACCGAGGGGTTGGCGCATGTAGATGTCGTCGGGGAGATCACCGTGTAGGAAAGCGTTGGAGACATCTAGTTGAAGAATTTGCCATTGACGGTTGAGAACTAGGGTGAGTAGAATCCGAATAGTTGTCATCTTTGCAACCGGGTTGAACGTTTAGTTGTAGTTTTCGCCGTGTTTTTGAGTATAGCCTAAGGCTACAAGATGAACCTTGTAACGTTCCACATGTCCAGTTGGAAGAGTTTTGGTTTTGAATGTCCACTTACAGCCAAGTATGTGTTTGTCCGACGGTGGAGGTACAAGTGTCCACGTCTTTTGTTGTTAAAGAGCATGAAATTAGGCCTCCATTGCGGTGCGCCAGTGGGGGAAGTGACGAGCCTGAGTATAGGTAGCGGGCGTGTAGGGAGGTATAGGATTGCTGAGGAGAGAATAGAGAGGATTGGGCTTAGAAATACCTGATTTGGATCTAGTCTGCATGGGGTGAGGCGGACGGACTTGTTGAGAGGGAATGGGTTGAGGGTGAGGAGAATTGCAGGATGAGGGATTTGGATTAATGTGTGGGATGATGGGAGTATTGGTAGGATTGTTAGTGTGAGAGTTGAGGTTTTTGTTCACGAGTTGAGAGAACTGTTGCACGGTAGACGGTGGGACAAGAAACAGAGGAGACGTGATGTGTTTGGTAGGAGGTTAAGTGGTTTGAGGTTTTGAATGATAGGGGCATTCGTTTTCATAGAACGCAGCGTGGTGAGAGATGTGGATTTTGTGTGTGTGAAGGTTATAGCACTTGTATCCTTTATGATTGGAGGAGTAGCCGAGAAAAACACAGTCTAGGGAACGCGGAGAGAATTTGTTCGCGGCGTAAGGTTTTAGCCAAGGATAGCAGAGGCATCCAAAGACACGGAGATGATTGTAGGAAGGAGTTTTGTGATAGAGAAGTTGGTAGGGAGAATTGGGAAAGATGGATTTGGTGGGTAGACGATTAATAAGGTGGATTGCGGTGGAGACCGCTTCTGACTAGAATTGAGTGGGGAGGTTGGAAGCATGCAAAAGAGTGCGGGTTAAGTCAAGAACGTGACGATGCTTACGCTCAGCTATCCCATTTTGTTCAAGTGTGTGCGGACAGCTCAACTGGTGATGAATGCCGTGATCCTGAAGATAGGAGGTGAAGTTGGTGCTCGTAAATTCGCCGCCCCCGTCAGATTGAAAAATTTTAGGAGTTTTATTAAATTGAGTGGAAAGTAATTTGCAAAGATTTTTGAAGTTAGAGAACGTTTCCTTCTTAGTATGCATGAAGTAAATCCAAGAAAAACGCGTGAAATCATCCGTAAAAATGACGTAGTAGCGAAAACCATTTAGCGAAGGATTCGAAGCCGGTCCCCACACGTCCGAGTGAATAAGATCAAACGGTGAAGTGGTAACCGAACTTCTTTCATTAAAATTGAGCTTATGGCTCTTGGCCACATTACAAGATTTACACAAGAATGGAGTAGAGGGGGTGTAAGGAAGAGACATAATCTTTGCAAGATTGGAGAGGAGCCTGCTATTCGAATGTCCGAGACGCGTGTGCCACAGAGTGGAGGAGTTCGGGATGGCTTGAAGAGCGACTGGTGGACCGTCCGGCGGCGTGTGTATGTGGTACAGGCCATTACGAAGACGGCCACGGAGAAGCAAATGGTGATCCTGAGAGTCCTTCATTTCAAAACCATTAGCGTCGAAAGTAATTGAAATGGAGTTATCAGTTGTTAATTTTGAAACGGAGAGAAGATTTGCGTTAGAGAAGGGACATGTAAGAGATTACTTAATCAAAGCTTACGGGGGGTATCCGACAATGGAAGCAGACCTTGGCGAGATTGCTGGATAGGTAAGGACGAGACGTTGGCAACAGAGACAGTATCATGACCTTGATAAGCCGACGGATGTTGAAGGTTGGTGCTATCCGACGTGAGGTGAGTTGAAGCACCTGTGTCAAGTATCCAATCTTGAGTTGGATAAGTTGTTGGTTGCGCGAGCATAGCCCGTGGTTGGTAAGGAATGGTCGGTGCGTATTTGAAATTCCAGCAGTGCCAGCAATTAATCGCTATGTGACCAGTTTTGCCACAGATTTGGCATGTCGATCTTTAAGTACTAGCGGTAGAGGCGGGCTGCGACGTTGGAGTCTGAGATGGTGGGTAAGAAGTGTTGTTCTTGTTCTTGTTCTTGGAGAAGCGTTTTTGAGTTCTACCACGTTGTTGATTGTAAGAAGTGGCGTAAAAAGCGGTTTGATCAGTAGCGGTGTCTTTGAGATGTTCTTGATTGATGTGGATTTCTTCACTGCACAAAAGGGAGTACAAGGAATCCAGATCAGCGAGAAGAGAAGAGGTCCGAATATATGTCTTGAAGCAATTATAAGTGGCCGGGAGGCCATTTAGAATATAGTGAACGATGTCTACAGGATCTATTTTGGACCCGGATGCCGCGATGTTGTCCACGATGTGCTTGACTTGCGTGAGATATTGTTGCATAGATAGGTTATTCATTTGTATATGATGTAGTTCGTTCTTGAGTTGGATAACTCGAGAGCGGCTAGTCGGCTGTAGGCGGCGTTCGAGAGTCGTCCAAACTTCTTGAGCGGTGGTGGCGGTGATGACGTAGGGAAGAATTGATGGCGAAATCATTGCGAAGAGCGCAGAGATTAAGTTGATGTCGACGAGCATCCATGCGGCGTAGGCTTGAGATTTGTCGTTTGGCGGCTGCGGAGTGTTGCCGGAGAGATGGCCGGCGTAGTTGTTGGCGGAGACTTGTTGGAGAATTTGAATTCTCCAGATAGCATGGTTGTCTATGGTGAGAGGGTGAGGTATGAAGTTATTGATATTGAAGATGAGAAATTTTAGAGGAGCCGGAATGATGAGGTCGGTGGTGTTGTTTCCGGCAAGAATGGAGAAAGATGGAGGGAGGGAGGAAGAGGAATCTTGATCCCCCATTTAGGCTCTTGATACCATGTGGAGACAAGCCAAGAAGAAGGCTGAGAGAGTCACGGACCAGGACAGAACCGGGACGGAGTAGAAACAGAGAAAAGGAATTGTATTCTATTATATTAAAAAGAGATGTACAGGACTCCTTTAAATAGCAAGCTAAGGTAAAATGGAAATAAGTGGCAGGTACAGTATAACAATAGAATGTACATGCTAACAAGGACAACTTTAAGTAATATTCCCTTTTGATCAACCTTGTTGTACTTCGGAGTGCGGCTCAACTTCCTATCCCACCCTCCTTGATCTGCTACTAACATCACCCATAAACCACAGGATAAATTTTTTTCTTATTTAATTTTGAAATTGTTTCGTTAAATTCTTGCAACATATTTTAAATTTTAAATGTTAAAAAAAACTGAGAATATTTAACTAAGAAACATGGATTTCTCATGGCGCCTTCTAATAGGAAATACTTGAGTTCGCAAGTAACCCTAAGGTAATACTTGAGTTCGCAAGCAATCCTAACCCAAATCGGAGATCCAACAGAGACAAAGTTGCTGTCCAGAACAGAAAAACAGCAGATTTCTGCTGTTTACAGCAGAAAAACAACACTAATCCAGGGAAAATCTGAGAGAAAACTCAAAGAAAAGCTTGTATACCACTAGACGATAAATAAAATAGCAAATATACAATTGATCCTCAATTCGAGAGGAGGATCGATCTCTCCCAAATCTCTGGCAACGCCAAGAGCCCAAAGAAAACCTAAATCTAAGAGATCTCAAATTTCAGCCAAATTCAAGATGATCAAACCCTAGGAAAAACAAATATTTAATGCATACAAATAAAAAGGAAAACCCTAAACAGTCCCTACATTCAAATTTCTCTCTTAAAACCCCCAAAAATCCTTCCTAAAATGCTCTGTTTGAACGCTAGGCCCGCCCGATCTCCGCAGGAGGCGGAGATCCCTGCCGGTCCCGTGCGGGCCGGCTGGACCGGTCAAGTGGACCGGTCTAACACCTTCCTTTTTTTCTTTCTCTCTCCTCTCATGTCAGTCAAAATGTAATATCATAGATCTTGGCATAATTAACACGTTCAAAGCGGGCAATTTTTGAATGTATATGCTTTCCGCTAACAGGATAGAACCGGTACTTGCTATAAACCCTTCAACAAAGTACGAAAAAGCAAAACAATCTTCTCCTAAAATATAATAACACGGAAAAAATAAGTATTAAAACAAGGGCAATTGAATCTAGTATAACTATCATTAAATTACTTTGACAACAGTAAGAGTGCAAAACCTGTAAGGTATGAAGTTGATTAGAATCATGGACATTTAGAACTCCTTTACACCGATACACATCCATATGAGATTTCTTTTCCCAAAGAAGATCCTCCAGCCATAGCCGCACCTGTTCAAACAAAAGGTAAATTATTCTAAGTGGGATAGGAATTCACACGACAAAAAAATTGAGAACATGATCAAATTTGTCCCTCAACTTTTTTGTGAGGAATCAAAATAGTCTTCAACTCTTTTGAGTGACCAATTTAGTCCATCAACTCTTTAAAATGGGACATCTTTAGTCCTAATATTCAATATTGGAGTTAATGGTATTAAATATAAAGTATATTTTGATCATTTTTTAATTAAATATTTATTAAATGTAATTTTCAATTAATTATTAATTTTCTAAAAAGTTTTTATCAAACATTTGAAATTAAAACTAAAATTGTTATTTAATATATCATCAAAAAGTCATCTTGATCAAGCATGAATCTTGAGGCAAATTTGCATTGGAAACTTCCGAAATTAAATTTGGGGCCATCCAAACTCCAATTTCAGCAAACTTATAATCAAACTGACAACCCAACGACATCAAATTTGATCCAATCCGAGCCCAAATGGGTCTAAATCGAGGGCCCGAAGCACATTTAGAAGGTTCAAAGCATAAATTGGATGACCAAATGATATCCAAATGCTACATGCTTAAAGTCGAATCGAGAAGCCCGACAAGAAAAATCCAACGAGCACAAGATCACTGAATTTTGATATCATTAAGACACTTAAATACTCAACAAACAGTCCATGATCAAGGGAGTCGATATCTATTCGAAACACACTCAACGTGCCCTTGATCTTCTCCCCATTTATTGGTCATCACACTCTCAGAAAACTAGAAATAAACCCCTCATTCTTCACTGAGGGGAGAGAAAGCAAGAGAAAGAAGAGGAGGAGAAGAGAAATTTGGGAACTCTCTTGGCACCAAACTCCTCGACAACCGCCCAGCCACCGACAATCGTCGAACTTTCACCCAGCCATCTACCGTCGCCGGACTTCTATCTGATAGCCATCGTACTACCACTATCTGACTTTTGCCCAACCGTCATCATTCACACAAAGTTTGTTATGCAACCGACCTAGGAGGGGCCGGCTGGACCGGTCCTCTTCTACTCCAGGCGGGCCAAGAGGGGCGGAAACCAGATCACGAGGGGGGCGGGGCAGCCTTTGTGGGCCCAAGCACTTAATGTAATGAGCTTTAGGAGGGAAAATTTGAATCAAGGAGCTGTTTAGGGATTTTGAATTAATCCTTTTTGCTTTAATTAGGAGTTAGGGTGGGAGTTAGGGGTTCATCTTGAATTTGAATGAGATTTGAAATCTAGGGTTTGCTTGTGTTGGGCTCTTGACATTGTCAAAGATTAGGAGAGCTGTTCTTCCTCTCGAATTGAAGAACATTGTATCTTTTCCAGTTTTTCTTGCATCTACTATTGAAATCAAATATTTTGGAGTGATTTCTCCCTAGATTTCTCTCAATTTTCACTGTTTTAGCCACTGCTCTTGCTGTTTTCCTACTGTAAACAGCAATTTTCTTCGTGTTTTACTTCAGATTTGGCTAAAAAATACTTGTTTTCAAGTATTTCCTATCTGGTATCAGAGAATCGATTTGGGACCGTTGGCAGCTGGATTTCTGAAATTCAACGTTAGATTTGTCTCAATTGGAAGAACTCTCAATTTCTAAGAAGGAACTATGGCTGGAAGAAAAGTTGAGGTCTTGGAAGGGGAGCTAGGGCAATTGAAGACAGATTTCGAAGAGAAGATCTCAGATTTTCAAAATCAATTTTCATCAATCCATCAGAAGATGGATAGAAGATTTGACGTGCTAGAAGAATTAATGAAAAAAATAATTGAAGAAAAGCAACACCATCACCATCTGAAACCGTCGGCGGCCATGGAAGGGGAGGAAACCCTAACCCGTCTAGGGGTAAGGAAAATCCAGAAGTGGAAGTTTTAGAGGGAGATGATGGGATGCCTCCGCTAGAACCGCTTTCGAGGGAGGAGTTGAGTAGGGGATACGACAAACGGGAGACTGATTTTGTCGGAAGAATGGAAGAATTTCATCGCCAAGGTGCTGAATTTGAAAGAATCCAACGTCGATGTGCTGATTTTGAAGGGGGAAGGGAGGAATTTCATCATCGAGGTGCTGAATTCGAAAGAATTTAGTGTCTAGGGGCTGATTTTGAAGGAAGAAGGGAGGAACTTCATCGTCGAGGTGCTGAATTTGAAGGAATTCAGCGTCGAGGTGATGATTTTGAAGGAAGAATGGGAGAGTATGAAGAGGGGTTCGAGTATAATCGTCGGAGGGATGATCGGGACACTTGGGGAGCTCTTCCCCTTCGAGGAATGGGAGGTTATGGAGGATACCGGGGAAATGGAGGAGATCCGAAGGTGAGGAAGCTGAAGATGTCCATCTTTGAGGGTGAGGATGTCCATGGGTGGATTTATAAGGTGGAGCGATATTTTGTTGTCAATGGGCTAACGGAGGAGGAGAAATTGACAGCGGCGGGAATGTGCTTGGAGGGAAAAGCCTTAGCCTGGTATCAATGGCGTGACAGACGGGAGCATATCCGGAGCTGGCGGGAGTTCAAAGAATGCTTATTAGAGCGTTTCAGAGCCGATGGGGGAGGAGACTTCTATGAGCAATTCTTTTCCCTTACCCAGGAGGGCACGGTGGCAGATTATATCTCGCTAGTAGGCTGGATCATATCTCGGAGTCAGCCCTAGAAGGAAATTTCATGAAGGGGCTAGAACCGGAGATTTTGTCAGCGTTGTATTCTCTTAAGAGTCAAATTCTTGTTTAAATCTAATAATAAAAGGTTATTTCTAATATTTATAACCAAGATTTTTAGGCCTACCTCTACCTCTCTTAACAGATCATTTCTAATATTTCTTCAACTTTAAATTAAAAAAAATATATATTGAAGGAAACATAAAACTAAGAAAGCAAAAAAAAGGAAGCATAGTGGAACTACTCAATTAATTCCAATCAAAGTGGCCGGCCATGCATAATTTTAATTGAAACTACAATGATTAAAAAATGAGCATTTCAACTCTAAGGCCTATCCTATGGTTGGAGATTTAAAAGTTGAATATTCAAAATGTCAAAATTCAAAATTTTGAGTTTCAATCATTAATTATCATTACAATTTAAATACTTGCCATATTAAGGCTATTTCTATCATAAATGAATGATGAAATTTCTTGACCCTTGATTCCATTTTGAAACTTTGACCTTGATCATATGATTGGGACATTCTAGTCCTTAATTTGAGTTTGGGCTCTTGATCTTAATCTAGTGATGGAACCATCATGATGATATTTTTGATGTTATGCATCACCTGATGTCACGTGCAAGAATACATAAAGGTGATTAATATATTATAGAAGGAAACTATGAAGTAATATGAACATAAAGGACGAAAAAAAAATCAGAACGTTAACAGGATGCCACAAAGATTACTATGCAAGCACAGGTATAGCTATAGACGTTTGAAACCTATACTGATATAGCTAGTTGGATTTTAAGACAATACCTTGTTTAAATCAACAGGCAGCTCTTCATAAATGCATAAAGTTCGCACACTGTAGTCATGACGGCTGCTACCAGGAGCTGTTTTACTATCTTCCAATAAAGCCTCCAAATGAGCCAAATGCTGATAACGAGAAAACCCAAATAATTAGTTGTGATTCGACATGAAGTATGATAGCACTGCCATAGATTGAATGCGTTCGCTAACATTAGCACCATAGGCCTTTCGGTCCAATATCTCATGTAAATCAATTTGGCAACGAACAGCTTGAAGGACACTAGCAAGGGAGTTGATGCTGAGAATTTCTTTTTGTAAATCCTCCAAACCATCTGTGATCAAATCTCCGCCTTTATTTTCCAGAACAAACAAGTCAACTTTATTTAGAATCACAACATCCTGCAAGCAAAAACAAAGATATGTAAGCCAATTACTCTAAAGACCATGATCACACAAAAAGTTATCAGCTGCTATAGATATGACATAGAAAACCAGGAAAGCTGTGTCACAGATTCAAACATTGCAACAGTAATGTTAAAATTTTGCAGCAAAGATGGAGAAAGATACCGCAAATGCAATCTGAAGAAAAGCTTCAGGAAATGAAGCGGAATCACGATATTCTTGAAGTTGCAATCGTATGTTTTTTGCATCCACAACCTATATGAGTAGCAAAAATATGGTTAATCTGAAGAACCAAAGAAATTTAAGAGCAAAAATGTGCAAGCATCATAACATTACTAACATTAAGTACTGAAATGTTGACAAACAATGCTGATTCAACGCGATGCAACTACATTTACCAAAACGAGCAATGTAAGTAAACAGAATAATGGAGAAGACAGGCTAGCATCCCAATGCAGAGGTGATGCAGGCAAAGTTATCAAATTTTATTTCATCATGGATATTTAAGCACTCAAATTTTATCAAGGACATTCGCATTAACAGTTTGTTGGAAATTTATTAAAATTTTGCTTTTTTTACACCATCCATAAATAGATGTACTTTAAGGTACGGAAGACAAGTTAAAGATGAATAAAATTATTATTATATGAATGAGAATACTCTTTAATGGAAATATGAACGTGTATATTTGCTAAAGAGCGTTTTAATTATCCTGGTGAGTTAAGTTTATTGTTGCAGGTTGTTTCAAGTCAGACACGGATTCTCTCAGTTGTTTCTGATTCCTCGTTCAACAAATTGCTTCCTTGTTTTTCCTCTCCCAGTTTTACACCATCACGCAGGATTGATCCTTTCTGCCCCCCGTCTCTGACTATAGTAGCAGTTGTCCCTGTCGTCTTGCAGTATTGACTACAGTAGCTACTGCCGCTAATTTGGACTTTTTGTGATTCACATGTTATTCTTGCCACCTCTTGGGAAGTATCGTTGTCATGTGCTTCACATTTCTTTTGATTCAATTGCTCCTTGATTCCTTTTGACACTTTTCTATTGTAGCTAAGTTAACTGCACTATTTTCTCACTCGATTTTGGAACTATAAAAAGGATCGGCTGGTTGTTACCTACAATTCTACCTTGGGATAGAACCTGAAGTTGCTGTTTTTTTGGGTAGGATTGAAAACTTATCTCGCTGAAACTTGGCTATACTAAATTGAAACTTCCAATTTTATGCTAGCTTTTGCAAGATTTTGTGAAATTAATATTTATAAATAGAGGAAAAGATCAAAATGATCTCAAATTACATAAAAATCCTAATTTAGTCCCCAAACTCCCTAAATAGGAACCAAAATGGTCGTGCCAACCAAACTAATGAAAATTGTAGTTAATTTTATTTAAAATGGTGATCTTTTTAAAATATTTTTTCTTGAATTATCTAGTAAATAAAATTTTCTGGCGAACTTATTTCCTACTGTCAACAACTAATCTCACGTAAAAATAAGAGCGGATTGAGATGGTGCATAGGGTATCTTCACTCGGCTCCTCTTCATCGGTGTGCCATTGTTGTGGGGGAATCTTCATTTTCTCCTGCTTGTCACTTTTACTAGGGGAAGCTTCATCAACAGCCTTATGCGTGTGTCGCCCAAAAGAGGTAGTTTCATCATTGCTCTCTCTTTAATCCTGCGCAATCGTCCTGCTCGTCGCTTACTAAGGGGAAGCTACACTAACTATTTATTTCATGACCGCCTCTCCATCTCGGCTAAGGTATACATAATAACAAAAATTAATAAATAAATTCCACAAATGCCCTAAGAGTTACGCATGCTTTGTGAGTTCTCTGTTGATCCAAATGATTTTCAATTAATTTTTACCTCCAATTTGAATGGCAAGACCATTTTGGTCCTTGTTAAAGAATATGGGGGCTAAATTAGCCCTTTTCTATAATCACTAATCTACGACAATTTTGTCTTTCACAAATAATCAGGGAATCATTTTAATTATTTTTCTCCTTTATAAATTGGATACCCAAAGAATTCTGGAATAAAACCTTCATTTCCTTTCAAATTTATATCTGTGTCATCGGATGTCGATTCTATGAGTGCAATGTACGATTTGACAATAACATCCCAGGGATGCTTCTCCTTTAACAACTTGAGGGTTGTATCTTCAAATTGGTGACTTAATCTTATTCTTTCATTAAAATAGGCTTGTGAGTGTGATTAATTGGTCAAGGATGTTACATATTTTTTTATTTTATGGCATCAAAATTTTCATTGTATCAAAACATTAATTGACATGGAATTTGGTATTCAACCTCAGATTTCAAGTGGATGTTTATAGAACTGGGGTAAACTTCAAATTAGTCTACTGTTTATGAAACTATTGTTCATTGTGAATAGTCAAGCTTTTGTTCATGTGAATAATAATTTCACTTGAAATACTTTTTTTTTTCTTAGAGCATTTGGATCTTCTCTGTTCTCCAACAACCCTCCACAGAAATAAACAAATCTCCACTTCATCGCCTAAATATTCTCCACAACCTCCATTTCAAATTTAAATCAAAAATAACGTTCTCGACAATCCAAGCCAAGAACCTCCAATACCTCATCAAGCCACCTCTCAAAATGTAAAGGACTCGACAATCCAAGCCAACAACCTCCAACGCCTCATCAAGCCACCTCTCAAAATCTAAAGGACTCTCAACACCAAATCTGCTCCCTTTTTAGCCTACACATGCATACCAAAGCACATGAAAAATGTATCTTTTCCAACGAAAGCATTTCCGATACTTCCATAAAAAGGTGAACAATAGCCGGATCTCTAAAAAAAGGAAATTTGAGAAAGAAAATCAGATAAGCCATCAAATGTCTTCGAAACGAACATATTTTGAATGCTAGTTATAATTCACTAGTTAAGAAATTTGGGTCAGGGAGGAGATCACCTTTTAAGAATTTTTTTTTTTCAATAGTAACCACTCTTACACTATTTCTTCGAAATAAGCTTGCTAATATTCCTTCAAGATCATGCTGCCCTCTAGCCTGCAAACCACTTGATCCATAGTTGATTTAGTATGATATATGCTTTGGCTGTATTATCACTGCCACTTGGAAATCGAGTGTTATATATTTGAGATAATTGATGCATGCAAAAATTCTGAATTTTTATCTCAATAATGATATTTGTCTTTTTATTTTACTTTAGCTAATTTGTCCTTTTAATTTTACTTTAGGTAATTTGTCCTTAAGTTTGTTCATTCTTGTACACCTATAAATAGATGTATTTTGGAGAATGTACGATGGCTTATAGCATAAATTAAATTCTTTTTGTGGATATGAAGACCGCCCTTCATCTATAATGGGATTTTTTTTTTTTTTTTTTCAGTAGCGAGAAACGAAACCCTTTGTAAAGTCTTTTAGTTCAGGTATGATGGTTGCTTACTTATCACTGTTCTTAATACTTCTTATTTATTTCTATCAATATTTCATATTTTTCAGCTTGTGCTATTATCTTTTTTATTTCTGTCACAGTCCCTATACCAAGAACTAACCAAGAAGACACACAGATAGCAACCACCTTTTAAATGGATTTTCGAGACAACTCACCATAATAAACGAGCCTGGAAGCAATAACAGAATAAAAACTTACTGTAATAATAGAGTCCAGTCTCACAGCTGATTCCAGTTGATCGTCCAACCAAAGGACAGATGCAAGAGGTGCAGGATCAGCCAATCCTGTTGTCTCTAACAATATATGATCAATTCTGCAGCAAATAAGAAACAATGATAATATAACCAAATCATACATGGAAGATGATTAACTCAGAAGAATGTGAGAAAAATTTAGCTGCAATAAGACAGTTGCAATTGAACACCCACCCTCACAGATGATGGTGGGGTGGGAGTGGGGGTTGAACAGTTAAGTTATTACTAAGTTTGATAGAAAATACAAGTAGACAGGCATCTTATAATATGCAAGTCCAAACTTACAATAGAGAAAGTAAAAACTCAAAAGTGTCGGTAATTATTTTCATTGAATAAGTTGGGGAAAAGTTCGGATAAAAAACTACCAACTGGGCCTTCTAAGAAAAAAAATAAAAAGGAGACTTTTAGAGCTCTCTGAAAATGTTTCATAAAAGGCTGCTAAGGAGTTATTGGGAAAAAAAAATAAGATCGTCTGTCAGTTCAATAAAAGCAGGGAAAAAAACACAAATAAAAGCAGAAACATTAATGAAACGATAGGTAAAGAAACATTACTAGTCATGGTTAGTATGATATGGTTTGAATTTTACTCAAAGATTCTTCGATGTCAACACCAAGAACGAAGAGAAATATTTATAATGGATAGGAAATAGAAGTTTACATGAAAACTTTGACTTCAAACTTTAACTGTGTCAGCCTCCGTTATAGAAGAAATGGAATGATGGTACCATCCAATTTATACTTCCATAAAGACATGTTAGTCTGATAAATGCAAATATATCTGTATCTAATCAAGAAATGTCATTAGCTACTAAAACAATGGTACTGTCTTTCATGAGTAAGGGTATCCATCTTGGATGCACCAAACCACCAAAGCCAACCGCAAATTACATCCCAATCATACGTGAAACAATAAAAAAGGCATAAGAAATGATCTTACTTTCAGAGAACTTTAGATGCTAACCTGTCTTTCCGCTGCACTAGTTGCTCCAGTGCTTGGACAAGACTATGCTTTACAGAGCAACAAACACATCCATTTGCCAGCTCCACCCATTCCTCAACAAGTGCTCCACCATCACCTTCATTTATCATTGCCCTCTCTACTCCGATCTCCTCACCAAATTCATTTAGTATAACTGCAATTCTCTTCCCATGTTGTCCATTTATGATGCTATTAATCAACTGAAAATAAAAAATTCAAACAATCATAAGCAATTGCAAGCTCCTTCAAAGATAGGAAATCAAAATGATTTAAAAATAGATTAAAAATTTTTCATAAAGCAAATTTAGTGTGCTCATGCTTTGCACAAAATTTCAAAAATGTCAAAAACTCAATAAAGAAACACCTAAATCTTAAAAGAACTGGGGACAATTTTTTGCTAGGACATCCAAGCTTAGAGTGCGAGACTCAAAGTCGTTAGATTTATTTTGAAATAAGTGTAATACATGAGAAATTTGCAATGCTTTCATCTCAAAATAAATCTAACGGTTTCGAGACCCATCCTGATAAAAATTTGATCAGGATATCCTGAAATGTAAAACAATGACTAAAATATTAGATAGTTCATCATACTGAAACTAGTATGTTAGACCGGCCCAGGATGGGCCGGTTGGACCGGTCCAGCAGGGACAGGTCCGCGTCTACGCGAGACGGACGCGAGGGAGCCCGCCTGGGCGGAAACGGCTCTGCCGTGAGCCGTGAATTTTAGGAGGGAAATTTTGAACGTGAAAGGCTGTTTTAGGAAGTTTATGATTGTCCTTTATGATTAATTTTGTATAATTAGGAGTTTGGGGGGAATTAG